ATGATGAGCTCAGTTTGTTAAATACAGGACATTACTTCCAGAAATGTTAGATATATATTATGGGCCCGAGTAATCTGATGTGGATGGGAATTATTTGAGCATTCCTTAATTAAAACCAGACTTTTCTGGTAGCTGGGGCTGTCTGCACATTGTTTTGAAGTGTTTGACCTGGAATAGTATTTGCTGCACTAAATGGCCACGGCCACAATCACACACCACATATTTTGGAGATGCAGAAAGATGAGCTCAGCAACGGCACACATAGCCACAGCCTGATCCACGGACAGTGACTGATGCAAGCCCACACAACCCATCTGATTTTCATAGATCCTGAAAATGCTCTCAGCTTGCATGGCCATTCAGAGATGTTTTTGACAGAGTAAGTCATCAGTTTTCCTGCTGTCCTATCATCTTTACAATGGCACTTTGGAAAGATGTGTTTTCAGTTGAGATTCACACCATTAGTCACACTGTTGATTCAGCCAGGCTTCCCAAAGCCTGGCCTGTGTCTCCTATCATTTCTTCCTCGTGTATCCTTTTCTTTGAATTACTGCTGATCCAGCTCTGTATGGATTCTGTGTGCATAGAGTATATTTTATATTAACATACACATTTGCTTCTTTTGCTGAAGACCCTCTGGAATAATCTTTAATTTTTAAAATATGCTGTATTAAAATTGCAGTTGCCACTGCAAACCCTGGGACCCTCCTAATAGACCATTCGGTTACATGAGATTTAGGTTTTGTAGGATCCTCCCCTTAGCATGGGAAAGATGTGAAAGAAGCCTTAATTAATTTCAGCCCAGTTCCAAATGAGACTCACTACTACACCAGATCCACGGTGTTGTTTTTAGAATAAAAACCTGTTAAAATCAGAGCTGAGGACCTCAAAGTCAGTGAAACCACTTCAGAAGGTTTAATCATTGCATATATTTGGAACACTGACATTTTTAGACTKATGAGTATTGTGAGAATCACAACTTTAGTCATGCCTAGCTGCAAACCTTATAGAAATATTCCTTATAAACTTAAAGTCATGAAGCAAATTGATTTGGCATTGGGAAGATGTGATTCTGTTTGGGATTCTGTTTCGTTTTCTTTTTAAAAACAGGGTCATCTCAGAAGCAAGTTTTCCTCTTTAATTTGTCAAGAAAATGGCAAAAATTGTTAAAAATACTATGCTGGAAAAATACTGTTGTCTTATTTAATTCCACCTTACTTTCTATTATATTCTGTTTTTTATAAAGCACAGTCTGCACAAAGAAATTCAGATGCAGAAACCATTGTTTGAAGTGGGAAGCCGAGACTTTMTGAAAAATTGGCAATAATTAACTTGAAAGAGTGATCCCTGGTATCTTCTCCTAAATGAAAAAGAACACATCTCTTCTGACATGTGTTCTTGCTATCTGCTGATCTCAGCATTTAAGAATGTTTCGGAATAAGACCGGGCTGTATTAAGGGAACTTGGATGAGTAAATCCTCTCGTGGCTCTTGAGGAAGTTATAATCTGCAAAAGGACCTCRGTTGCAAGGAATCTCTTCTACTTAGAAGGCAAAAAGGGAAAATTAAAACYCCCTATTGCACACAGCTTGATATCTGATTTTTCCCCTYGTGTGTAGCCAGATTTTTCTGAGGGAAAAACTTTAATGATAATTGCTTTTTTCCATAGCAGAGCAAGAATTTCTTGAACAGATGCTGACTGATTCCGTTCTGTGCAATTGGACTGGCAGCTCTCGGAGTACTTGTTCAGGGCTGCCAAGTTATGAAATGTTTGAGGTTCAAGCCGAGTGTGAATAAAGCTTTTATTGCTTTGAACAAGACATCTCGGCTCAAAACTCCCTTGCTTACATTTACGTGGATATAAATGACCTGTTAGTTAAATGTGGATATAAAAATGTCCCATGRACTAAAACAGAACGAATCACATTTCTTCTTAGTTTTGCCCTTTAAATGTTTTATGGTTACTATTGCTGGGCTTCCCTCCTCTTCTCGTGTTTTGTGTTTACTGGTTGTTACATGGTCACCTTTTTAAATACAAATAAAGCCACAAATCAGTGGCTGCTTTCATTGTCATTTATATCAACAGAGTTGCTCTCTGCTTTCATAGATGAGGGAATAGTTTCTAAATGGGACGAGTGCAGAGCTCCTCACATTATTCTTTATATTTAAGATGATATCTCTGAAAAATAGCAAGTTTCCCAGGGGCTAAAATCTTTCAGATATGCTTAGAGAAGCTTCAATTAATCCTCTTAAAGTGTGTCTCAAGTCTTTAAATACTATTGTTGGTGTTTTTTTCAAATTCTAGACTAAATCCTTACATTTGCCAGTCTTTCATTTTCGTAAAGAAAGTTATGTCATTTAATCTGGTAATGATTAAAAAAACTAGTGATATGACTAGTTTTTACATTTTCCTCTATTCTTTTTCTCCTCTCTCARTGTGGTTTTGTTAGTGAAGACAAATAGGAAAGGCAAGAATTGTGTGTTTCAGAAATGAAATGSATATATTTAAATACTTTGAAAGAGAAAATGAAATTTAAATATTTTATATAAAACGGCTGTGTCATTTTCAACCAGACCTAGCGATTAATACTGGTATTATTTAAGTAATTGCACAGGATTTCAAAAATKATAATTAATGCTAGAAACTAACAGTGAATTCAAAGGTTGCTCCCTTTCTGGTGCTGCCGCACAAATCTGATCTGGACGAGATCCTGGGCAGTAATGCTGAGCAAGGAAAGTGTTACAACAGCATCATATTTTGCTCCTCTTGTCACCACGGTTTCCAAGGGCTGTAAAATTCTCCTGTGTTTCTGATCCTCTCATAATATTGTTSTATGATACTCTAATGGTACAAGAGTTGTGTCAGCACCCTGTGAGCCAACATCTGGAAAGTGTTAATGTTTCGTTGAGCACAGGATGGCACAGACACGACTGATGCATCTGGAAAGAGCAAAATCTCTCTGTTGAGCTCTGCTGGGTGAGTGATTGCCAGGGGAAGGCTGGGAATTTGTCAGGATCCTTCAGACAGACTTTTGGCGTGTGTCTGGTGTCTGTGTGTATGGCCTGACCAGGAACCTAAATGCTCCACGTGAAAGGATGTGCAGTATCGCTCTCCTGGTTTCTGTTTAGCTGCAATGTGTTAGTGACAGTCCAGGCTGTAAAAAGGGACAGCTATGTCTGTRTGGATAAATTTCACATCTGAAACAGGTCTGAACCCCAATATTTTGAATGTCATTGCATGTCTTTCGTCTGATTTGCCATGTGCTCTGTGGCACATGGCAGCAATCACAGGCAGGACATCTTGTGACATGTGACATGAATGGTACAGGAGTATTCTGACATGCTGATGTGGTTCATCTGCTCAAACTTAAAGAGCTCACTCAGCAGGGCAACTTCATTCCTCATCTTCCCTCTGTTCTGTTTCAATGGCAGCTTAAATTCATTATTCAACATCAAACCCAAATACTTTAAATGCAGATCTTGTGAGATGATTTATCAATTGTGTCTGATTATTATGTTTTTTCCACAGAATTTAGGAAAGCTCATTTGAAAAGTCAAGAAGAACTGTAGCTTTTCATTACTACTTTTTTCTGGACATTTTGTTTTGTAAGTATCATAACTAGCAACTCTCATCAAGCTCGCTTGACTCATGGTTCTTCTRAAAGCTGAGACTGTTCAGGCTGGATAAAACTGCTGAAGGCACCAGTAGAAGTGATGCTGTCTTTTTTTTTTTTTTTTTTTTTTTTTGTCCAGAATGCCTGCAGCTATGATTTTCCATTCAGTAAAGTTTTTTGCCCCAGAGGAATGCAGAGTGGGCAGATGCTCAGATAAGGATCTAGGAAGATTTTAAGACCTGCAGCGCATGGCAACCTAAAATCTTTCACAAACAGAATTACAATTACTGCTCAGCTGTGTTCTGATGGGATTTCTGAGGGCTCAAAGAATTCTTGGTGGTTCAGAAAGAGAACTTTAACTTCTAATATGCCTCATGTTCTGTCAGCTATGCAGAGGCAATGGAAAACATTTGTCAAAACAGATGGCAGGTTTAACCCCCACCACTGAATACAAATGGGAAGTTCAAGSTCCCGTTAATGGTTGAGGAGCCAAGAAACATTTGGAAACTTAGTTTAGCATTGAATAGACCCCAAAGAATACACTGCTGCAATTCCAGGACTCCGTGGCTATGGCCAAACTCTGAACGCTGTGAACAGTCGTTTCACAGTTTAYGCTTCCAGCCAGGACACAGAACTGCTGAGGTGCACGAAAACTAAGATGTAGCAGCTAACATGGTTTTCAGGATTTTTGAGAAGACATGTTTGACAGCTGCTTCAGCCCAGCARTGCATTTCTTTGCCCAGTGCTTCCTGATAATCTGCTATGCCACTCGTTTGCTTTTCATACAATAAAATAAATATAATCTGAAAAGCAATCGTGCATAAAATATAGTAAGAAACTAAATGTGAAAATATCTGCTGTTTCTATTAAATCAAACTGGCATGTTACACTGAAGTAAGTTTCACAGGATCTCTAGGGAAATTGTGGAAACTATGATCTGSGTAGCTGAAAGGTTTCAGTTGCTGGTGGCATGACTACTAAAWGCAAAATAAAGTCACAGAGATGTTTTACATGCATCCAGTGAAACAGGTACTGGGGTAATTTGTGCTGATTAATAATGAAAAAGGTTCTTGCTATGATTTAAWCCATTTACTGTTAAATGAGCAGACGTGCCTGAGTTTGGAATAASAACATGGAGAAAGCTCCTAYGAAGTGTTTGCWGTTGTGATCAGTGCTTTATAYAGRCCCTAATCAAGATCTTAATTATTTAATCATGTGCTGCTTTTATAGTCTGGAAAGGTAGTTTTTTTTCCTATGGAATGGGCACTCACTGGAGTGCAGTCAATGTTAAATGTCAATGTTAAACTGCCCCGTGTCTGTGTCTCCCTTGTTCGTACATCAGGAATTACACATTGAAGAAGGGTCACACTGTTAGAACACAACTGACCTCAGTCTTGCACACRAGTGCCTGGCACCAGGTTCAGAATGTTTCTTCTTGGTTGTGTCTTGCTGAGCCCTCTTCTTCCTCCTGCACGCTGTGGGGAGTGCACAGCCACAACTTAAAATCAAGAGCAAGGGCTAAAAGATAATATTTGTGCCTGATAATTGTCAGACTATCCATATTTGTTCTCCACAACTTCACATACATGACTTCTAAGGATTATTATGGCTACCTGACCYATTCTACTTTTTTTTTCCATCTAGAATTTCATGAAGCTACGGGATGGATGAGTGAAAGCTGATAACTGTAACTTAAGGTAAGATTTAAGTACCCAGTGTTATTACTGTTTTTGTTCAGAGTTGTAAACAAGCATTGATGTGCATTACATGCTCTGTAACTTACAAGCTAGTATGGAACAATGCCAGGCACTTAATTTCTATACCAGTGGCTTTACATTGTACCTAGAGACTAAATGAAATAATTAAAATCCACTTAATCTTATAAAGATGTGCCATTCTTCCTCTTCAAAACCCTTGTGATCTTTATGCAACAAATTTGGCCAGTATGTCACTATTGCTCGCTGCGAAGCAGAGCTGGGAGACACAAGAAAAGGGTTGTTAACTGTTCCCTTAGGATTTAGGCACTGATGATCAGCARCAGGCAGATGTTAACACACCTCAGTTGGCAGCAAGATGCAATTTTGAAAACCCTGTGTGTTCCAAGTAACTGTGGCAGATGTACAATGAAGCCCACAGAGCTGTGGGAGCTGATCACTAATGCTGAGGGTCCTGTATCTTCCTGACAGATAACAGCTTGCTGTAGCACCTGTCTCCTGAGGTTTGCTGTTATTTGGAAGCAACACATTCCAGTGCCACTTTTCTTGGCAGAACCTGGGATTAATTTAGTCTGCTGTTGTCTAAATATCCCCATGGATGAGGATCTGTCTTGGARGAAATGGCTGCAGAGACCCAAATTGAATGGTGAAGAATTGTGGTTGCCAAATTTGTTTACATAGATGGGTTTTTTAGCTGAGACTTTCACAGTGTGGTTTGACACTTAAAAATGTCATTCCTGGATTGAAGCACTTGGAAACAGCATGAGGGTATAAAAATGGATGTACAGAACTAGAAAACMACTCTTTTAACTATTTCCATTATTTAAAATAGAAAAAAAAAAAATGAAGTGAAGCACATTTTCCCAAGTCTAGCTAGGTAACAGGGTATTACTTGTTGGATTTGTGCATGTCTTCAGTAATGTATAAACAAAAGAAATACTTTTTTTCCTTTAATACTTCTATAAACCTAGGTTCTGACACTTTGATCTTCCAGTGACAATAATACAGCATTTTATTTCCTGATTTGTTGCTGCTATTGAACCTATGAGCATAGATAATTTCGTTAAAACACAATTAAAATTTAACAACTTGCCTAATTATCCTCCTAGTCAAATTTGTCCTCATTTGGAAGGGCTCTTTTCTAATTTTGACTTATTAAATTCTGTAAGAAAGATCAAAGGTGCCTTCCTGTTCCTTATTATAGAGGATCGGTGGATCAGATAATTCAAGGTTTGATAAAATGTCTCCATGAATTCAGCTGTATGCACTGATWATTATGTTATTAGGCCATTTTAGAGTAAGAGTTAAACTGCCAATTCTTTTGTAAACAGCACCAATACATTCTTAGCAAGTACCTCTTTCCTGTGGAACATGGTTCTGTTTTCGTTTTGAATTTTAAAATGTCCCATGTCATTTTAGGTTGCTAAGCTGTGTGATTTACTGACTGCTCTCGATGGATTGTATTGGCATCCCATGAGGACTGCATTCTAGCCTTCCTCCCTAAAATACAGGCAGTTCTCAGAAAGCAGCACTATTCTTGTGAAAACAGCATTTCTATATTTCTCTTGCATGTTTATCCTCAGCATCATCTTACTGGGAACATGCTTAATCTGCCAAAAGCTCTGCTGAACTCTGACTGCAAACCATTCCAAAGCCCCAATTTCTCATGCAAACGTCTCATGACCTCAGGTAGGTAGAGAACTCCTGGTTCTCTAAGCACGATATCAGCAACCAACTTTACAGTGCTCTGAGCCTTTTGGCTGCTGCATATTCAAAGCTCTGTTTACTTCTTGCCCTTGTCATCTACTCAGCCAGCATAACTTTGATCCAGGCAGTTTGCTTTCAGTCTTACCTTGGTATTCACAACCTCGTCGTGCTGAGAAGTCTTACCCAGGTGCCTTATCCTGAAAACTCGGGGCTTTTTGTTTGTTTGATCAACTCCCATGGCTTGCAAGCGATCCAGCTTTTGTTCAGTCGCTGTTCTGAGGGCTGGTGCATGGCTCTGCACGGCTTGGGCTTTCCTRAATCAACATATGGACTATAATATATTGTTTGTGTTGAGTCTGATGTCATGGGAAAAAGTGTTGCTTCGGTCAGGATGGAAAATTGCCCAGATATATTCAAATTGTTTCTTCCTTGACTGTAGTATCTGCTTGAAAGTTTTCACTTGCCTCCTAATGGTTATTCCTGCTCATCCACAGGCTGTTTCCAGTCCAAATATAGTGCTACTTGATTGAAAAAATCCAAGAAGCAGTTCTCTTTTTGGCACATGTTTAACRATCTCAGCTAAATCCCTTCTGAAATGCCATGGTCCAGTTTGTCACAGAAGGTCACAGGCTTGCTGAGGCTGTCCCTCCAGACATATCAGCTACTTCTGTGTCTGCACAGCTACAGAAACTCTGCTGAAATCTGGAATGTTTTTCAAACCCTTTCCCCTCCCTCTGAAGTGGCTGTGAGGAAGCAGTGACCGAGGGTATCCTCGTGAAACTCCTRTTGACCCTCAATATGGAATGTGCAGCCAGTTCGGGGTCCTGTGTTTGGGGTTGTTTTTTGTACTGAGGGAGCCTTTCAGATAATGTTTGGGAATGGCTTTAAAAGAACAGCTAAAATGATTTTATTTGCTTGTCTGCATAACTAAAGGATATTAGTCAGGGCAAACTAATGTAACTCCACTGATATTAATAGAGCTGAGTTAGAACAACTGGAGAATAATCCCTTAAATTCTAGGGAAATTATTATTGTGCAGGCTGAGTTTCAAAGGCTCTAATGCTGTCTAATAATGTTAGGAGTCCTTAATACCCAGCTAATTCCTAATTAGCTTTTCCTTCCCTGTCAACATCTCTGTTATGCCTTTTATGTCGATGTCAGAGTTTTGCTGTAGGAAAACAAGAACTCTGTTCAAGATAAACCTGCCCTGAGCTGTGCCTTCAGATGTGTGATACCTGCCCAGGACAAGAGGCTCAGCAGGCTCCAGGGCTTGCACACTCCTGTTGAAAGAGTCAGAAAATCAAACTGTAAGTGTTTCTGTTTTGTAAATACCAACTGGGATTTTTCTGTGCCTCCTAACATARCTGATTAGGAATGGATTTTCCTCAGGACAAAGATACCATTCTAACTTGAGGGTTGTCTCACTGCCAGATTTCAAGCTCCTGTTATAAATCACTATGGCTCTTCAGAAAGCAGATGAAAAAAATCAATGTTGGTGAAACCACCCTTCACTAARTTTGTTCCAAAAATGGCTGAACTATTTTCTACCAAACTTTTTAAAATATCAAATAAAAATTACCAAGTGCAAGAAGAARAAATTTCAACCTGAGTGCTTGAAGTTTAGTTTTGTAACTCTTCACACATTATGGAGTTAGGTTTTCTCAATGCCATCTGACTTAGCACTCCAATTTTTGTCTTCATTTGAAATTTTATATAATAATATGGGGAACTACATGTATGGAGATCTTTGGTTGGTTTTATCTGGATTTGGAGGATCTTCTGAATACTATAAAAYCTAAACAGTGAAAAGGGTCTTAAATCCCAGCTTTTTTCAGGCAGTACTCATCWGAGAGGGCAAGTGTGTAACTCCACCAAATTGAAGAAATGTTTAAATTATTAAAAATGGCATATTCTRTTATCTAAGGCACTTTGAATTTGAGCCCTATGGAGAACTAGGTTATAAAACAAACACAGAGCCCTTRTAGAGGTGAGTCCATCCTGGACACCCTTAAATTGCAATGCAGAAGATGACAAAATTGGATTAATCTGCAAATGGACTCGAAATAAACAGCTATTTGAATGCAATTTTCCTTTTATCCAGAAGCTGGGACAGTGCTTATTGTTACCTTGTCTAACTTATTGCATTTCCAGGCCATCTATCAACTCAGTTTCAGTTCTCCCCTTGTATAATATGATGAGAGA